GGCCAACCCTGACATAAGGAGAGAGAGAGGACCAGGCCCAGGTGTGAATACCTGGAGTCAGGGGTTATTGGCGGCTATCTCAGGGRCTGGCCAGAACCGAGAGGGTTGTCAGCACATTTCCGTGGCAGCAGAGTCTTCTCTGTGCTCTGCCTCCTGCTGTCCTGGCCTGAATCTGGCTCCCAGTCCTTCCGTCAACCCCATGATCTGCCGGACACCTTTCCGATATGTTCTCCTCTGTTAGAGTCACAGGCTCTGCCTTCGCCTGAGAGGGCAGCGGTGGGGACGGGGGCTGGAAGGGAGGGAACTCTCTTGAGATGAGTGGTCAGATGGGGCCTCCTTGAGGAGATGCCATGTGCCCAGACCCGAGTGGGGACGAAGGACCGGTCGATGAAGAGTGGGAGGATGAGCACAGAGCTCGGAGGTGGGAGCCCAGATGGCTGGATGGTGGGAGATAGCAGCAAGTGGGCAGTGGACAGAGAGGTCAGCAGAAACTGGGTCACTCGGGATCCTGAGGCTGTGGTGAGGAGTTGAGATCCCTCCCGCTTCAACCAGAGCCAGGCACGAGAACCTGAGAAGGCGGAGGACCAGAGCTTGTCTGGGAATCAGAATCAGCCCATCGGTAAGTAGCTTTAGCCAGACGTGACAAAGGAAGGCTGTACGTTGTCCAACACACTCATCTACTTGTAGGTGTTTGGGTTTTCCAAATTTTTGGTTGGGTTCTTTCCTATGTTTCTTAGTTCCTTTTGATAAATTCCAACTCAACTCTGCTGAGCTAAAGGGAAAGATTTTTGTCTATAGTTAGGCCTGGGAATCCCAGCTGGGGCATTTGGTCATCTGGTGGAGACAGACAGCTGCCCAGGACCGTGGTGGGCGGATCAGAGGGGTCCTGATGGACCCATGGCTTGTCTTACTACTTTGCGGTCCTTTCTTAGCTCAGTAAGTACCTGACCAGGGGGCTGGGCTAGGGCTCAGTGGTAGAGCACTCGCCTAGCATGTGTGAGGCACTGTGTTCCATCCTCAGCACCACATAAAGATAAATAAATAAAGGTATTGTGTCCATCTAAAAAAAGAAATCTAACTTAAAAAAAAATACTTGACCAGCATCTGGCATGTGCCTAGACTCTGGGTGGGCATCAGATCAGGAAGATGACCGTGACACTGTTCCTCATCGCCAGGAATCAAGGGAGATGTGAGGAATGGCCCAGTCCACAGTTATCAAGGGAGAGAGCTCCCTGTCATTTAGGAACTGGCAATAGGGCCCATGTTCAAAGCCAACAGTCCCTAGGTGCCCTGGATCCTAGATAGATACTTTCCCTCCAGCGTTTACAGAACTGGCTCCACATCCACTAGTCAGAAACCCAATTTTCTCTTCCTTGCTCATATAATAATCCTAGAGAGGATTTCATGGATTTAGTGAGGAGTACAGAATGAAAACTGGGGGGCAATTCCTTTCCCTCCCACTAAAGGGGTGTGTGTAAGGAGGCCGGAGGGAGTTCTCTCCTGGAGATTCAGAGTGACCGCCCAAGGGGATGGTGGGATGCTGCTCCCTGATGGGAGTCTACTTGGCAGCGGGCTGTGCCTACCTTAGCAGGGGGAAAGAAAAGTAGAAAGAGGGGCATTGCAAAGCAGCGGCCAGGACGCCTGTGTTCCTGTGGGTCAGGTGGACACTGTAGCGATGGGCCAGGCTGGAGCACCTTTTGTGGCTCGCCCACACCAGCTGACTGCTGGGCGGGAGGGTCCCAGCAGGGCAGGACTCAGGTGTTAGGGCGACCAGAGAACTATGCAGTGGGTGGCCCCCTGAGAAGCCATACATGACACTCGCCACTCGATGCAACTGAGTTTCAGCCAACAGAGAAGGTTCCTGCAGGGGCTGGACACGGGCCTAGGTGTTTCCCTTTCCTCCTGCCCTCCCCACTCAACCAGGGGAGGACGCTGGGGTGCACCTCCCAGCAGGCCTCCCCCCTCCCCTGCTTTTTACTTCCAGAAGATAGGGTCCTGGCTCAGGTCAATCCCTGGATGCCAGAAGAAGAGATAAAATGAGATTTAAGTTGAGTTTGAGAATAAAGCTTCAAAGGATGGAGGTTTAACAACAGAAAGTGATCCAAAAGTAATGCAATCTGCCCAAAATGTCATTAAGGGATGGGAAAGGGAAATTCAACGTAGCATGGCTGAAGGCAGAGATTAGGGGGAAGGCTTCATTATTAGGCCCCACGGAGCTGAATCGGTTCAATACACTGGTTCCACAAATAAACAGAATAATTGAAGTACAGTGTGGCGGAGCAGCTGGCGGCTCACCCAGGTAAGCAGCCCCAGGGTTCCCAGAGAGCCTGGGGAGCTGGGGTTCACATCCTGGGTTGGCTGACAGGGGGACTTCTGAAGGGGGGGGCACTGGAGCCCAGCTCTGGAAGGAGAGTGGAAGGACTTTCCAGGCAGGAATGACCCTGCGGTCCAGTTGGGGAGCAAGGCTGGAGCATCAGGTGGGAGGCTGGAAGGCTGGTGAGAGAGGCAGGGGGAGGAAGTGGGAAGTTTCTTCAAACTCAGCAGGAGCCATTGGATTTGCCTATCAGGTAAGACCCCCTGGTCTCCAGACTCTGGCAGCGTGAGGATGACCCCCAGGCCTGCCCCTCACTCATTCACCCTGAGCACCCTACAAAGGCCGTTTCCCCTGTGAGTCCAAAATCCTGGCTCTCTGCTCTTGAATGTCCTTCACCATTTCCCTCTTGGTCATCTGGTGGAGATGGGACACTGACTGTTGCCACCTCCCTTAAATCATCTCCTTGCTGCCTTCCAGTCCACCGGCTCAGCCCAGCGAGACTCCTCTGGGCCTCTCTGCCAGCAGTCTCCACGGGATGCGCATGTACCGAAATATCTTCCTTTATCTTGTCTGGCCTGCGCCCCATGGGGCAACCAGAAGGCTACTATTTATTCTTTCACACATTAATTTAAGCTGTTTTAATTGCTGCTATGATATGTTTTATATAATATAATTAACGTTTTAATTCTGTATACTTGCTTCCCCAGGCAGTTTCCTGAAGGGCCCAATTTCAGAATCAAGCAAATAAGGAATAAGTAATGGCTGAAGTTATTACAGTAATGCTCCCCTCCCAAAGGAATTAAAACTGCGGGTTTTTTTCAAAGGGGGTCAAAAAGGAAATGATATTTTAATCTTCTGATTATCCTGGCATGTTTGGTGACTTTAAAGAAGACCCGAGGGTCCTGACTATGTTGCTGGCCTTTTCCTGTCTGGTTTTCATCCTTTCTATCCAGGGGCCACTGAAGCTTGAGATCCGTGTTAGTAGCTTTGTGCCCCCCCCCCCCTCGCCTTTTTTGTGGAGGACCAGAAGTTCTGAACCTGCTCACTCATTTCTTTATTCATTGGACAAATTGGAGTCCTATTTGGTGCCCAGAACTGGGATAGATCTGGCCCCACCCTCCGAAGTTCACAACTAAGTGGGACCAGGCAGAGGGACCATGACTTGGTCCCCATAACTGCTGTGGGATGTGGGATGTGGGCAGGCAGGATGGGGTGGAGTACCACCTCGGTTTCAGGAACTTGGGGAAGGCCTAAGAGGAGACCACATTAAATGGGTTTCACAAAGGGGAAGGGACAGAAGGAAGGCACAAGACAGGGTGAGAAACACGGTAAGGAAAAGTAATTGTGTATTTGGGAACCAGGGACAGGAGGAACATGGCTTGAAGCCAGTGTTCCGGGAAGGACAGAGCAGAAATTGATCATGGTTGGAGAGGTTGGGACTGAGCAGGGAAGGGTTTGATCCAACAGGCTAAGCAATTCGGATCACCCCGAAAGAAACAGGGGGAAGCCAGAGAGGTACTTAAACAGGAAAGGGCCCCATCCGATGAGATGTGGAGTTTACCCAGGGATTTGCCGCAGTGTGTGGGGGGGTGGGGTGGGGAAGGGAAGGGGGAATTGTCTCCTGGGATGTCGTAGGTGCTCAACAAGTAGTCCCCAAATGAGTGAGATTGTTAGCACAGTCCAGATGAAAGGTGAGGAGCTTCTGAATTAGGACAGTGGCAGAGGTGATAGACAGAGGTTTCACAAGGCTGCCAAGGTGCCCTTCACGACAAAAGCCAGGGGAGTGGAGACAGTGGCTCCCTGGCTTCCCGTCTCCAATCTGTGCAGCCTGGCCCAGAACCTCAGAGCTTAGAGGGCGTCATTCCGGGTTCAAGCTACTCAGGTTTCCTGGGGAGAAAACAGAGGCTCCCGGAGGAACTCAGCGCGTCTGGGACGCTCCCTGGACCAGAACCCCGTGATCCTTGGTGACACTCCCTGGACCAGAACCCCGTGATCCTTGGTGCCATAGGTTCCAGAATGGCTGGGGGAAAGGGACTCGGGAAGAGAAGGCGCAGGGAGGCCTGGGGTCTTCTACCATTTTCAAGGCTGATCCACGTTTCACAAGTGCCTGTCTCCAGGAGCTGGAGGCAGGGGTGCATGGATGGGTGGATGCGGACGCTGGGGCCTGCGCCCACGCAAGGGGATTTCCTTTGAAAGAGAGAGAAACTGGATTGGGAAACCCGTTTCCCTGAAACTGTTTCCCATCCTCCAGCTGTGGCCTTCCCGTTTTCTGGGGGTGATGATGGTGGGGGAACTTCCGCAAGTCTCTCTATCCCTGGGGGGGGGGGATGCTTTCGGTTCTGCCGGGATTCCCACAGGTAGCGCGGGGGAGAACCGGGGAGGTCTTGGTGGCGACCCCAGCACCCACTGGGATCCCTCCTCTCCCTTCTTCCCTTGGACGCAGCTGGCTCCTAGCCCGCCTCTCCGTGGCTTTTGGGGTCCTGGGGACGAGAGGAAGGGCTCTCCTTGGGGACACCTCTACCGGGGGAGGAGCGCCCCTAAACTCCCGGAGGGAATTAGACTCCTGGGAATGTCCTGGGGGAAACCCTGAAGGGTCTGTAGCCAGGGGCACCGTCCCCGGCTGGCCGCGATTGGTCCTCGAAGACTCCCGCCCCTTTCCTGGGCGGGGCCACAGGCTGGGCCGGGGAGTTACTGGACGCGGCGCACGAGGACCGGTGCCCGCGGTCGGCGTCTGGCCTCGCCATGGTCCGGCTGCCTCTGCAGTGCGTGCTCTGGGGCTGCATCTGGACCTCCGTGAGTAGTCCGCGCCCCACCCGACGGGCTTCCGATTTTAGGGTGCGGAATGGGAGGGAAGGAGAAGCAAGACCTCGGGGAAGAGGCCCCCTGAGCTGACCTAGGGGCCGGGAGTGCGGACCCGAGGGAGTTGGGGAGCAGGAGGGAGTGGGGGAGCAGGAGGGAGTGGGGGGGCGGGCCAGGTACCCCGATCGGGGCTGAAGGTGAGGTGGGCAGCCCCTCGCCTAGCGGGGTGGGGCTCCGGGGTGGCCCGCCGAAGGCGCCGATGGGGGCACTGCCCGCCTAGACTGCGTGGAAGGGTTGGGGCGGAGGGAGCCCCGGCTTTCATCCGATCCAAGGGCTGGGTCCGGCTCGCCTCCGAGGCGGGCCACGGGAACTGGAAGGGATCCCGAGGGCGGGAGAGGAGGCCGGCCAAGGGAAGGGGCGGGTTTCCTGTCCCTTCCCTGCCTTTTCCCACTGTGGACAGAGGCCAGTCCTCGTGGTTATCACTTCCTTGCCAGTTGGGGCTGCTTTCTTCCTGGGCATCTGGCGGAAACAAGGGTTGGTGCAGAGGACCAGGTACCTTTGGAGGAGGCAAGGTGTTTTTACACGCCCCCTTATCCCGGAGAGACAACCCAGAAGGATCCATGTATGCCTCTACCTCTTGAATCTGAGATGACCTAGGGGAGCCCTGGGGGAGAGAAACAGCTCCTGGGACCCAAGAAAGGGTTAGAGGACCAGCAGGGGACTCTCCAGGCACCAGAAGGGCTAGACCCAACCAAGCGCGTCTCCGGGATTTTCAGAAGCTCACACTCGATTCACTTTTGGTTTAAAATGTATTTTTGTAGTTCCTCATTCTGGAGCCTGGGAATTCCCCGAGTACCTGGCCCTCTCATCCCAGCCCCCCTGGCGGCCCCCTACTTTCAGGGACTCTCAGATTCTGCAGTGAGGTCTGGACAGGAATGACCCAGCAGCAGGGGAAGACGTTGTGAGGGGGAAGCCGTTTGATTTTCAGTCTAAACAATGGCTCTTAGGGAGCAGGGAGGTCAGGAGGGTGGAACTGGAGAGGGTGGACAGTGGGGAGGAAGCGCAGGGGTGGTCAAGGCTTCTCAAGAGCAGTGCGCTCCCTGACCCTTCATTGGGCCTCCAGGTAGGGGCTGGGCAATAGCAGGGGCTATTCATCAAGGTCTTCCTGTGTATGGAGCTCCGAGGAAGATGCTAAGTGTCTTCTCCACCCGACTTTTCTCAACTCCCCATTATACAAATCGTGCAAACTGAAGTTCTGAAAGGGGAATTGTCTTGCCAAAAGTCTCATAGGTACATACCGGTAGAACCTGCATATGAATTTTTGTTTGAAGATGGCATCAAGGAATTTCATTGCTCAGGGAGCGTGGTAGGAAGGTCTGTGTTCACTGGTGGGGGCTTCTGCTTGGGAGTGGTAGCCTTTCCCATTTCCTTCCCAATTTTGGATAAGACACATATTTTTGTAAGTAGTTTTCTCAGCAACCCAGGTTGAGTGACAGCTGCTGATCAAATGGGTCCTGGACAGACAGTTAGCCAGGGTACTGGACATCCAAGCAGATACTCATCTATATATGGTGAGTAAAACTGCCGTTTAATGAGCACCTACTATGGGCTAGGCACAACGCTATGTACACGTGTTCTTTCTCATCTTCTCAGCCCAACCTGCACAGCAGGTGTCATTACTCCCATCTTGAAAGCCAGGAAAGGGAGGCTAAGAGAACCAAAATAACTAGTATGTATTATAAAATCCACAGCCTAAAGCTATCTGATTCTCAAACGTATCCTCTTTTCCCTGGCTGTTCCCAAAGTGTGGGATGGTTTTAGGGAGCACATGGATATAGAACTAAATATAGACTCTTTATAGTTCTTTTAAAAATCCTTCTTTTTTTTTTTCCCCAAGGAAGAAGTCTCTGAAGCTAAAATATAGTAAAGCCTCTCAGAGGCTTACTAATCCTCCTTCTTAACTAAAACCAAGAGCAATCCTAGGGAAGAGGGTCTTTAGCTAGTAAAGCAACCACCTGGGGTTTAATAGCATTGTTTTATTTCTGTCAAATTTATTTTTAGGGTTTCCTTTTATTTATGAGAAGTGATACTGGTTCTCTGACGGCAATGACATGAGGTTTGCGTTCAAAAGAACTGTATTTAAATTAGTAAGAAGCCATGAGTCTCATGGGTGGTGCATGGTAGAAACGGTGCAGGTAAAACACAGCCGGTGGAGAGAAGGTATATTGCAACCTGTGGGTTCTGCCCCTGTGGGACCCTGGGCGCAAGTGACCCAGTCTCTCTGGTGATCTACTTCACCATCTGTAAGATGAAAGAATCAGATTCTGTCCTTCCAGCTTCACAATCCTCTCGTCTTGTGAGGGAGGGGTGAGGTGAGCAAAATGCAGAGTTGGGGGGAGAAACCCTGCGGGTCTTGGAGGTGGGAAGAATGAGGGGAGGCTCTGAAGCCCACCCAGGACTGGGGTCCTCTGAAGCCAGCCAACCTCAGGACTCCCGGGGAGGTATGGGAGTCCTCCCACCTGTTGAGTCTGGGAGGAGGAAAGACTCAGGAGTCAAGCAGGTCTGTTCAGTTCAGAGAATACTGAGTTTCCAGAGCTGTTGCTTTGTAAAAGGCCAGAATGATTCTCTGGGTACTTTGAAACTCAGACCAGTTGACCGTTTCGTTAAAGACAAACACCCGGTTCTGTGGTTCTGTGCAGGCTTCCTTTTCTGTTTTGGATCTCCACATCAGGGTTAGCCTCTGTCTGGGCTGATTTTCAACCCTCCTGCCAAGGAGGTGACAGCAGAAACTTGAAGATGATTTTGTTTTTAGGTCTACCCCGAGCCACCCACTGAATGCGGAGAAAACCAGTACCTCCTAAACAGTCAGTGCTGTGATAAGTGCCGACCAGGTGAGACGCCACCCTCAGTCCGACTGTGGGATGCCTCTCGGTTTCGTGGCAGATGCAGAGCCCATGTACTAACGCCAAACTGGCCTCTGAAGCAACCCTTGCCTTCCCGGCCCTGCCGTTGGAACGTCCTGGTTGCCTCTCTGCCTGGTAAACCTCGGCCGACTCCAACCTGGGGGTCCTCTCTCCTCCATCTCTCCACCAGAAGGGTCACCTTTAAGCCCCCACCTGCAAGCCCGGCCCGATCCTGTGGAGATCAGGGCCCCGGGGACCAGCGCTGTCCCATTGCCCGCTGTCTTCCAGGAGAGAAGCTGGTGAACGACTGCACCCAGCTCACCGTCACCCAGTGCCTGCCTTGCAGTAAGGGCGAGTTCTCCGACACCTGGAACAGAGACAGACGCTGTCACGAGCACAGATACTGCGACCCCAGTGCGTGGGCTCGGGGGAAGGGACACGTGGGGTTCTAGTAGCCAGGGCCTGTTCTGATTGGTTGGAGTCGGGTGGTCCTGGGTGGTCATGGCAGGCTGCACGGGGGAAGAGGGTCTAAGGACACTGAGCCGGCAGCGTGAGGAGTGGGACTCCCACCTGGCGGGCGGGTTCCCACCTCCCTGCCCACTGTGCTCAGATCTCGGGCTCCGGGTCGAGAGAGAGGGCAGCGCAGAAAGAGACACCCTCTGCGCCTGCGAGGAGGGCCGGCACTGCACCGGTGGCACCTGCGAGAGCTGTGCCCTACACACCTCGTGTGGCCCTGGGCTTGGGGTCAAGCAGCTTGGTGAGTGGTCTGTGGGGGACGGCTCTGGAGGTAGGGGAGGGGGCAGGGGGCCAGATCGCAGGAGGTGGGCAGCGCACCCAGCTCTAGAGGCGGAGGAAAGGGAGACTTCAACCAGGTGGGTTTCCGCTGGAGCGAGCAGGGCCTTCTGCCACCTGCCTCCTGCCGTGGGTAGGTGCCTGGGAGGCAGCAGGGCCTCCTGGGCTGCACTGTCGGGGGCAGCCCTCCACTGGCTCCCCTGAGAGCCAGACAGGTAGCCCGCGGTGCTGTTTCATGTCCCCTCCCCACCGCTCTCAGGTACAGGGACTTCTGACACCGTCTGTGAACCCTGCCCCGTCGGCTTCTTCTCCAATGTGTCATCCGCTTTTGAAAAGTGTCACCCCTGGACCAGGTATTAAGGACTCCCACCCAGGGGCGCCCAGGCCCTGCCTCCATCTCTCTCCCCACCTCTGCCCCGGCGCGACCCCACGGCCAGCCCAGGGGCTTCCAGGGTTTTCTTGTCTGCTCTCCGAGTGACRGACACCCTTGGCCTCTTCCTCTCCTTGAAGCGCCCTTCTTGGGGAGCGGGGAACCTCCTTCAGTGCCCCCTTCTGCCCCCTCCTTTTCCTGCTCCTTCCGTGCTCTCCCTGCCGTGTGCTGGGCTCTCTGACCACTCGGCCACCTTTCCTGGGCCATCTCTTGGGATCCCCAACTCCCATCTCCCTCGTCCCCTGTTTGGATCTATCCCCTGGATAGACCAGAACGTCCTGCTGTTCGCTCCTCGGCAGTGACCYGCCGGCTTCTCCAACTCTGTCCAGATGGCCCCGCGGCCGGCTCCCCTCCCTGGAGGAAAGGGCCTGCTGCGTGTGGCTCTGGATACTGGCCCCCTGCGACTCCCTCCTTACCTCCAGCTCCTGTCCCTCTGGCCCGGGTCTCCCTGCTCTGTCCTGAGCCATCACTTTAGTTTGGCCTCGTCGCTGTCATCTGCTGATACCTTCGCCTCCACTGGTCCCCGCTCGTGTCTCCTCTTTCGCCGCTTCTCTCTCTCTTTTATTCATTTTTGACTTATTTACTTATTTTTCAGGGCTGGGGACTGAACTTGGCCCCACATGCTGGGCAGTGCTCCACCACTGAGCCCTGTCCCCCCCGGATCCCCCACCTCTTGCTAAAGTGGGCTCCCAGTTCCCCTGGGTCATGCTGTCCCCCACTTCAGGGCTCTTGGTGGCTCTCCTGCCTCCGACAGGAAACGCAGACTCTTCCGCACCACATTTACGTGGCCTTTCCTGACCTCCTGTCCCCGCCAGGCTGCATCGTGCCATCTGCAGTCCCCCCGGGACACGATTCATTCTGTTGGCTTAGACTCTTCTGCCTGGAATACACTTAAACACGCGCACCATTAATTTTTTACACCTAATTTTAAAAAACGGGTAACACGGGCTCCTGGGACGGACAGTACCAAGGGGCCCACGGTGATGACCCTCCCCCCAGCCTCCCAGTTCTCCCTGGAGGCAGCCTCTGTTTCTTGAGGGTCCTTCCAGAGATCCTGTGCATAAACAAATAAATAAGCACACACACTCTCTCCTTTTCTTTATTTTTGTTTGTGGGGCTGGGGATGGAACCCAGGGCCTCGCACACGCTAGGCAGGTGCCCTACCGCTGAGGCACACCCCAGCCCCCCCTTTTATTTTCTGTGGCCCACCACATTCGCTCTGCTTCCTGCCTGCCCTTCCCGGTGGACTGCATCTCCTTAAATGTAGAGACGGGGCCTTTCCCAGCCCCAGCCCCCAGCCCCTGGGCCTGGCCTGTGCTGCTGTGGGGCAGGCGCTCCTTGGTCTTTCCCGGTGAGTCCTGCTGCTGCCCTGGAGCTCCTGCACGGGCTCCAATCCACCTGCAGCTCACCCCTCCGAGCCTTGTCCTCCCCTGAGAAATGGAATGACCTTCCTCTGACAAAGCCTGAGAGGAAGACAGTCAGGAGTGTGTGTAGACGCTGCAGCAGTCCTCCCGCACGACCAGAGGACGCGCTCTGTCCCGAGCTGCTCTCTCTCTCCTGCCTTCAGCGGGTTTTCCTTTGCAATGTCCTTTCCTGTCCACCCGTCTCCTCTCCTGCTGGGACTCCCTGGGACCAGGTCTCATCTCATATGGAGGCTCTCGCCATGCCTCCTGGCTGGCCACTCTTCTGCTGACCCCCCTCCGAGCCGCTGGTCAGCTGCTGCTAACTCAGTAGGTTATGTGGTTGGATGCTGGTGACTCTCCCAGCTGCATCCAGTCAGACCCTCATGCCTGGCTGTCAGCTCTGTCTTCCTGTGGCTCCCCAGCACCACCCCATGTGCCAGCTGCCTGGTCTCCCCCTCGGCCCTGTCTGCTTGGCTGGAATGCACGGCGGCTCCAGACTTCCCATCCTCAGGCCCTCTCAGATCTCCTCCTACAGGGAAGCTTTTCTGCAAGCCTTTCTTAAACCACAGCGTCTCAGCCAGGCGCGGATTTGCTCCCTGTGGGACCTGGGCTGTGTCTGGACACCTTTTTGTCACCACTGGGGAGGGGAAGCTACTCGTATCCAGTGGGTAGAGCCCAAGGATGCTGCTAAACGTCTTACCATGCTCAGGACCGCCCCCCCCCACGGGATTATCCAGCCAGGAGGTCACTGGTGCCAAGGCTGAGAACCCTTCCTTAAACTCAGCTCAGCATCTCTCCCCTGCAGCCATTGTGGATGCCGCCTCTGGGTGCCCACTTTATCAGTATTCCAGGGCTGGCGCTCACTATTGACTCCACTGTCCATCACTCCTTCAAGACATGCGGGCGTCTTTCCTTTGCCCCTGTGAGGTGCAAAAGAACAGTCTGCGTCCTTCCCAGGATAAGCCGGATGGGCTGTTGTGGGGAGTGTGAGCTCTGTGAGCCTGCCTTGACTTCCCTCCGCTGGGGTTGGATACTGATGGCTGGGAGACTTAACCTCTCTCTCTCTCTCTCTCTCTCTCTCTCTCTCTCTCTCTGTCTGCGTGCCCATATGTGTGTGCACATGTGTCTGCACAGCTGTGAGACCAAAGACCTGGTGGAGCGCCAGCCAGGGACCAACGTGACTGATGCTATCTGTGGTGAGTCCTGGAGTGGGCCCTGGCAGCTGTGGGGACTGAAGGGGCGGCCGAGGCCCGAGACACCAGCGGGGAGGAAGTGGGGGACAAAGGGAGAGGAGGAGGCAGTTTGGGGGTGTGGTATCCCAGCTCTGCCCTTTACTGTGGGAGCCTCTCTGAGCCTCAGTTTCTTCATCTGTAAAATGGGACAAGTGCGCCTCTCTCAGTAGGCTGGTGCAGGTGCCTGGCCTGGGTTCTTGCACGATGGAGGTGCTCCATGATGCGATTCTGCCACCCCTTACTTCAGGTCCTAGCACACAGTGACATTGTCCCCTGTTGGCCTCAGTTTTGATTTTAGAATGAGAAGGTTGGCTTACAGCACAGATCACCAATTCAGATAACTACAGGGACTGGGCAGGTCCTGTTAGTGAGGGTCGGAGGTCAGGGGTGAGAAAAACACACCGTCTTTGCTTTTTCTCGGACTCGACTTCCTCTTGGCAGGGCTGGGCGTAGAATGAGGTGATGCGGCACTTGGCCTGAGCCAAGTGTTCAAGGGAGTGCCATCAATGTGGTAACCAAGATAAAGCGTTTTGAGGCAATACATTTTTTTATTAGTTTTTTTAGTTGTTGATGGACCTTTATTTAATTTTTTTCATTTATATGTGGTGCTGAGAATCGAACCCAGGGCCTTATGTGTGAGGCAAGCGCTCTACCGCTGAGCTATAGCTCCAACCCCTTGACGCAATATCATAAAAATCAAAATGAATGCAAAAAATCCGTGATAAATAAAATAGCAAAATTTTAAATAAAGGCAGGATCTGACCCTGCATTCGCAAGACCCCGCCTTCCTCACATTCCCCTACGGCTGGGCCCTGGTTCCAATAAAGCTTTATTTAAAAAACAGGTGGCTGAACCGTGGGCCGTCGTTTGCTCTCTTGGGGTCCACCGCTGACTTGAAAATCGTGGCATCAGACCAGAACTTAGCTTGATCCCCGAGTCGGCCGGGGCACCTGTAAATCTTGTCTGAAGTGTCTGATTCTCTCTCGGTGTCAGAGCTCCTGCCTCTTGGTCTTTCATTTGCCACTTAAAATAGAGGCTGAGGAACAAGAAACACTTGACCTGCCTCTTGCCTTTTCTATAAGAAGAGAAACGGTCCAGACACGCATGATCCTGGATCTCGGCGATGGGCAGCGGGTAGGGTGACAGGAAGCCGGGGAGCCCGCCGCTGCTCAGTTCCAGCTGATGCTGTCAGATGGGGACACTGGCTCACGGGGCCCTGATCTCCCCATTTTGTAGGAGGCCAGATATCCAGGCTCTTAACACCGAATGTCCTCAGTAAAGAATGTTGGCCAGTATCTCAAAGCGTTAAAACAGTGTGCTCCTCACCCTAAAGACACCCGCCAGCCGCGCTTCCTCAAGGGACCCGTGTTTGAGGGCTCTGAGGTCCCGGGCTCGGACGGTGGAGGGTTGGGTGCAGCCTGGGCCTGGGGGCGGGGGACTGTGCGGGAGCCTGCTGAGGTCTGGTTGCTCTAGGTTTCCAGAGTCGGACGAGAGCCCTGGTGGTGATCCCCATCGTCGGGGTCCTCCTGCTGGCCATCTTCCTGGTGTCGCTGTACATCCGTGAGTCCCCAGGTGGGTGGAGGGGCCGAGGGAGGAGGAGGTGTCGCGTCCCTGGTGGCTGGATCCGGCCTCCCGGCTCACACCCTTCTCTCTCCTCCAGGGAAAGTGCTCAAGAAGCCGATGGAGAAGGTAGGTCACCCCGGGACAGAATTTTGGCAAGAAAGATTTTGTTGCCTGTGGGGCAGGAAAACTGACTCGGGGTCTGTCACTGCCGTCAGTGGGGGGCAGAAGAGGCTCCCCGACCCCCGCCACGTTCCAGCCTTGCTTCCTCTGTCCACTTAGTCAGTCCCAGCCTGTCACCTCCAGAGCTGACCTCCTCATGGAGCCTGGCACCACTGGCCAAGTCCTGCACCCCTGGTCGGGCGCTCGCCCCAGGGGAACGTGCCTTGGGATCTTGGAGCTGGGCCCAGTGCGGTAGCTCCTGGAATCCACTGGCTCTTGCTCTGGAAGCTTCTTGGTACCCTCAGTGTGGCCACCAGGGGGCAGGAGACACCCAAGGAATCAGCCCTGACCCCTGGGAAAGGGGAAGGGGCTTGGGGAGGGCCTCTGCTTCCTGGGGACAGGCTGCGGGGTGACCTCACACCTTCCTTCCCAGGCCATCCATCTTCCGAAGGCTCAGGGGCAAGATCCTGTGGAGACTATTTTTCTGGATGATGTTGCTCCATCTCCTGCGGCTCCAGTGCAGGAGACCTTACATGGCTGCCAGCCGGTCACCCAAGAGGACGGCAAGGAGAGTCGCGTGGCCGTGCAGGAGAGGCAGTGAGGCTGCGCCTGCTTGGGACGCGGCTGCACGGGTCCAGGACACCTGGCTGAGAGCCCGGAGCTGCTGCCGTGGTGACAGCGTGGGGCCAAGGGGACGACGCCGACCAGGCACAGCCCCCTGGGCCTCTGCACTCAGAGGAGCCCACGGCGCCCTCAGGGACTCCCGCCACACACCTGGGCTCCTCCAGTTGCACAACTTGCTTTGCTTTTGGAGATGGAGGGAAGACTCTGGGGGCCCAAGGGGAGACGGTGACACCCACCAAGCCTCCAGCCCAGCGGAGCAGCCTGGCACCCAGAGACGTGTCGTGTGGCTTCCACGCGCCCAGGAGGCTTATACACGTGTGTCTGTTGTGGCTTTTTGTTTTGTATGTGGTTGTGAATGACTGGAGACCACTTCCCTGTCCATCAGCAGGGACTGGTAAATAAAATGGCACTGTATTTATACAGCAGGGTCTCCACAACACGGTCCGATGGAAAGACAAAAGAGGTTGTGGGAGGGTAGACACAAAGACCTTTTCAGTGGACACACCTGGAACAACAGAACAGAGTGCAGTCATGCAGACACTGCACCTACTGTGTGTGCAGCAGACAGCATCAAGATCCAGGAGGAGACTGGGAGTCATAGACACAGTATGCATCATATCTGTAGGTAGAACCAGGGTTCTGGAAGGACACCCAGAAACCCAAACTCACAGACCTGGTCATGTTTGTGCTGGGGAAGGCTTGGCTCTCCCCTGATGCTTCTTTTTTTTTTTTTTTTTTCCCAAAAGGAGAATGAGTTCACATAATGCTTATGTAATTAAAAAACCCATCAAACACGTAAAAAGAAAAACGGGGGTGGACGTGCTGGGTGACAGGAGCTGTTTAATTTGCTGCCAGGCTCACAGAATGAGGGCATTTTCAGAGGATAAGTAAGAATGTCCCCAGGCTGCTGCCCCTCCAGGGTAGGTTCCGAGTGTGCTTGCGTTTGGCATCCAAGTTTGCAAGATGTTCTTCCCATTTGATTCATGGTCCCAAACAAAACAACAAAACAGAAGCCTTTGGAGGCCAGGAGGGTCTGCCTCCCTCCTCTTTCAGAGATAAAACAGAGGCCCAGAGAGGTGCAGTCATTTGCCTGTGGACACACAGGGAGCTCAGACCACCCCCCCCTTGGTCCAGAGCTCCCCCCAGCTCTGCCTGCTCTCTGCAGCTACCTCTGTAGCGCCTTCCAGGGAGGTCCTGGGTCTCCCGTCACAGGAGCTGCTGTCTCTAGGTCAGATGGTGCCCCTCCCTCCCCAGCAGTATCTCAGGATAAAAATAACCCTTCCTGTTCTCTTTTCCTGCTGTGCCAACTGAGGGGGAGCCTAGCCAGGAGGAGCAGCAGATGGAATGGGAGCAGAGGGGAGGGGGACGGCTAGGGACAAGAAGAGCGGAGCATAGAGCAGAGGGCTGGGCAGAGCCTGGCGGGCTCCCCGTGGGGGTGAACCCGGGCCCCTCTTCCTTCCCAGTGAGAAACGGCTTTGGACTGCTCCCATGTGTCCTGTTGGCTCACATGTTCTGATGAGGGTTGGGATGGAGAGGGCTTGTCCCCGTGGAGGCTCTGATGGCAGCTGGGAGCCAGGAGAGGGGCACCTGGCTTGGCAGTCTTCCTAGAAGAGCCTCAAGAGCCATTTGGAGGCACCGGGTGGAGGGAGAGTCTTGTTTGGAAAGCAGAGCTCAGTGGCAGAGTGGGCGCAGGGGGCTTGATCCTGATCTTCACCCTCCGCCCAGGGCCCAGATGCTAGTGGTCTCACTTCTGCGTGGTGGTGGGGCCGGCAGAAACAGGCTCCTGCCTGCCACCTATTTGCATGAGATCTTTCTGGGTTCCTTGTCTGGGAACTGGTGGTGACACTTGTAGCTGTTGGGGCCTGCTGCGTCCTCTCCTATGGTACCAGAAGCACCTGGGAGGCTTGGGAAGCCAGGGATACCGGTGGCACCTCCAGTGCTTCTCAGTGGGGACCGAGATGAGGAATCTGCGTTTCTGACAGTTTCCCAGGGGTTAGTGCTGCGGTGGGTCGAGGCTCACACTTTGAGAGCCACCCCCCTGGACCTTCACCAGGCTGAATACGCAGCTGGGTTCCCACTGCCGCACCTGGGACCCCTGGTCTTGAAGATGCTCTTGGTGTGACGGAGGCCGGGCAGGCTGTGGCCGGGAGAGTGGATGACCTGGCGGACACACTCAGCCAGTCGGGGTTCGAGGGGACGGGTAAACACCCACATTCCTTCCCTCAGAAGGGACAAACCTGAGGTGTGTCCTGCACAGCTTCTGGGCTCTCTAGGGGCATGCGCTCTGCTGGTCCCTTCCTGGTGTCCCTTCCCCACTCCACCACCGCTTCCCGGGTTCGGTTTCCCAGCACACGGCCTGGGCCCATGTGGGGGGAGTGGGTGTGTCTCGGTGTCTCGACCAAGGGAAGAAGTTACTCTTGGCAGCTCTTGCAAATTCTGGCTCTGATTCTAATGGAACTTGGTCAGGAGTTTTCTGTGGAGCCTCTGGGAAATGACTCTCTGGTCTGGACATCCCCCCGATGTGTCGTGAAGGGCTGCTTGGTTCCCCACGGTTCTGCCAGTTCTGAACTGTGGAGCGGGCCAACCCCCCAGGGAGCAGGGTCGGTCCTGGCCGCAGAGGGCTGTGAGGCACGCATCCGCCGGCAGGTGGCGCCAAGGTAACGTCCGAAGGCCTGGCGTCGCTGGCGGCCGGAGCGCAGGTGGCTGCGCTGACGCAGGCTCCGCCCACGCCCCGTGCTGGGGCTGGGGTCCTGCCTCCGCGGGCGGAGCCGCTCCTCCGTCCATCCCCCAGGGCGCATCCCGTCTTTCACAGACACGGACGAGGTCCCTAGTGTGTTCCTCCTCCTAGGTCAGGACCCCCGCCCTGCGACAGGACTGCGCYCCTGCGGAGAGCGCGCTGCGTGAGCACCTGGGGCCTCTCCCGAGCTGCCCTAGTGGACAGCACCGCCCGGGGAGGCGTGGCCTCCTATACCCATTCTACAGATGAGCTCAGGCTGAGATTTGGACCTCACCGGGTGCACTTGAAAGCCCGCGGTTTTTGCCCCTCTGTGAGTGAGGGAACCGGTGCCAACAGGTCATTCCGACGGTGTGACTGTCCCGGTCCAWGGAGAAACACCGCAGAGCGGCTATCTCCAGAGCCAGAGGGCACTCGCCCAGGRTCCGGAGGGAGGGAGGCTGGCAGGGCCAGGACTGGTGTGGCAGAGACTAGGGCCGTCCTTGGGGAAGCGTCTGTCCGCTCCTTCCAGTCGTTACCCGAAGGAATGAGTCTGTACCTTGCTGCGAATCCGGATTTTTAGGTGAAATCTCCCAACAGTTAAATGTCACCAATTCCACAATTTACAGAAACAGGCTCAGTGACCACCCAGGAAACACGTGACGAAGGGTTGGTTGAAAGACTGGGAGTTTCACTGTCTCACTCTTYTGTTTTACATTTGGGGAACTGAGGCCCTAGAGRGTCCAGAGCCGGGTCAGGCAGGACACCCCAGGCAGGCTGTTCCCTGCTGGAGACGGGAGGGAGAGTCCCTGGGGGTTTAGCTGCATCCTCKGCAGGGGGCAGGGTCTGGGGCATTGAAGCCAGGTGGAGGGTCTTGCTTGAGAGGGCCCGCGGGACGCCAAGGCGCTCTAATCCATGACCAGTCCCTGAAGCTCCAGCTCCCATCTCGGAGCCTTCGGACCCTGCAGCCCATCCTTGGGTGGCAGAAGGTATTAGGACTCTGCCCGCTAGGATTTCTCTCCCCAGAGCCACTCTCGTGAGAAAATCACCAACCAGCCTGTGGGGGTGGAGGGATGCAGTTTTAATTTGTACCAAAGCCAGAGAGAAAGCCTCCCATGCTGTGGTTCTGGATGACGGAGGAGCTCGTGATGGGGACTCCCCTGGCACAAGCCGCAGTGCTGTGGGGTGGGGTGCAGCAAGCTTCAGCCCAGGGGGCCAGTTACAGGGGACATCCCTGCTCTGGACCTTCCTTCTCTGTCCCCGGGGCTCTCCGCCTCAGCTTGCTGGCTGGCAATCACGCCGGCCTTGGCCCCCAGCTAGTGCCTGTCTCCCCGGCCCCCAGGACTCCCTCTCTCCCAGGCAGCTTCTGCCTGGCCCTGGGCTCCCCTGCCTTCYCCTACCACCTCCTTTCCCATCCCCAGCTCTTCCACCTCATCCCTGCTCTCTTTCCAACAAGTGCTATTGTTATGGCTGATTATAAACGTCACGCCAGGCCCAACACCCCGTCCATGCAACAGACAGGGACTGCAAATACCTCCACCCGGAAGCCTCCCTCCGCCCCTGCTGACCACAGGGCATGGTCCCTCCAGAGTTGCGTTCCATGCCAAAAATGTTTTTTAAACTTGGGATATTATCATATGCACTGTTTGGTAGGCAGCCTTCTTTGCTTAGCAGTGGAGCGGACATCTCTCTGTGCCCATAAATATAGATCGACAACATGGTTTTTAATCACTGCACAGATTCCATGGTGTCACAGGAGTCCGGTGCTGCAGGACGTCCAGGAGGCCCCTCTCCTCCCACCGGGGCCGCTCTCTCTCTCCTTCTCTTTCGCCCTCCTGTCTCCTGCCTCCCTCCCCAGCATCCAGCATCTGCATCTGTCCCGGATGAAGGACATCTCTGGCCCTCCCTGTTCCCTCCAAGCTCCCTGCACCCTGCGGAGGGGTGGGAGGTTGGTGGCGGCTCGCCCCCACCCCCCTCTGTCGGAAGTGTGCCGTCTCATTAGCCAGCCTGTCCCCCCAAGTGAGGCAGGCAGGAGCCACCGAAGCAGCGAGAGGCCTAATTGAATGTAACTAATTATTCACTCCCTTAAATGGGCCTGGGAGGGACAGAATTACTCACTCTGAACTGGGAGACAGGGAACTGGCCGGCTGGCAAACCAATCCCCGGGCCTGCAGAGCCGGCTCTCCCCGGAATGCTGATTAGGGCAGGAGTGAGGAGACAGACCAGGCKAGCCTCTCCTCCCTCCTCCCCCAGGAAGTGGGCTCTGGAGGGGAAGCGGACCCTCCTGTGAGTCTCATTGGAGGACCCCAGGGAAGGGTCCACATGGGCGGGGGACGGAGGGAAATCACCAGGCARAGGGCTGGGGTTTAATATGGACAGAGATGGGAGGGCCCAGGGAGTGGGAGGGAATGAGCCGGCCTGAGGGTGGGGTGGCAAGCCACCATGGTCCCACCTGAGCCAGGGACCCAGCTGCTCCCAGGAGGAAACCCTCTAGTCCCAAGCCGTGCCTGGGCCAGGCCTGTGCTGAGGGCTGGATGCCCAGCTCCTCTCCAGGCCTGTTATGTCAGGCAAGGGAAACAGGCGTGGGGGGGACGGCCTCAGTTTATTCAAGATCCGGCTGGAGGGAGGGGACACAGCTGGGCTCAGTTTGGTCCCCATGCAAAGCTCAGAGTTCCTGGCCTCTAGAGTTAGGCAGGCCTCCTTTKGGAGGATGAAATAAATTCCCCTGCCCTTCGAGACT